GGGGGGGGGGAGCGGCGGGAATGGCTGGCTCACCAACTTGGATTAACCACAGCCATGAAGATGCCCATTTTCAGAGTGAGGGACAAAGGTGAAGGACGTCACACACATACAATACTCTCAACTAAGAAAGTGTAGAAGGAAATAATCGGACCATTCAAATGGGAAAATAATATTGCTCTAAAAAGAAACAATTCAATTACAGCCAAGGACACTGTCAAGCAGAATTTAACAAACAAATCTGGTTCTCACAATGCTTAGGTCTTTAAGAAGCACCATTTTTCTGTTCATTCTCACAATATTCAAATATTTGCTTAATGGATGAATAAATGGACAACCTCTGAAGGCCTTTAGACTTATATTCAACTTAGTCTGTGGTGAAATAAATCCCTCAAATCAAAATAAGTCCCTGCCCTGAGACAGAGTTCATGTAACACTGATAGGACACTCCCAAAGAAGAATAGATTTAAGGGAACGCTCACTAATTTCCTTGAAAATGCCTGTAGCTGAAATGAATTTTTACTGCACGTGAGTACCCATAAGGCAGGACTAGAAGACTGGCCATCAAGAAGAAACAAGACCATCCTGTCCACGGGCCTGTATGGACACATTCAGCAGAACCTGACTTCTATATTCAGAAGACCAGGAGTGAAACAGAACTTACTGATACGTCACACCAAACTTCCAGGGGCACCTGGGTGGCTTAGTCAGTTAAGCGTCTGACTTCACCTCAGGTCATGATCTCACGTTTCATGAGTTCAAGCCCCACGTCGGGCTCTGTACTGTCAGTGCGGAGCCTGCTTTGGATCCTCTGTCTCCCCTCTGTCTCTGCTCCTTTCTACTTGTTTTTTTCCTCTCTCTTTCTAAACAAACAAACAAACTTTAAAGAAAAAATAAATCCAAACTTCCAAAGAGATTGAAATGTGTAGCAATGGCAGTTCCATTGAGGGACTGGGTTGGGTGGGAGGTGAGGAAGACACTGATAATGGTCTATTTGCTCTAGGGCTTATTTTAGCACAAAGCGCTAGAACCCATCCTCCATGGGCCCATGTGAACGCATGTGGTAGAAGATGACTTGTATTCAGAGAATAGGAGTAGAAAGGTCTTCACATCAGCCCAAATTCACATATTCAAGTTTCATTTCCCCTCTACATGGCACCAATCACCTCACCCTCTGGGGTAAGTAAGATGGCCAGGAAATCTGGGCTCAGCAGAAACTGAGCAGGTGAGCTAAGGCAAGGCAATGGATTCCCTTTAGTTTTAAGTAACAAACATGCCTTCTTTGAAAGAACCCCGGGTGGCTTTTGACAGCTCTCGATCTCAAGCTGCAGTTCATCCCTATACTCCAAATCCTTTCATTTTCTGCGGTAACAGCCAACACTCATTCTGCTTGGCACCCAGTTACACAAAGACAGTTTTTCCTTTCCCAAGATGTAGTTACATGAGAAATGTTCTCCTCCAGCTCTTCCACCCTCTCCAAGGCTGCATTCTTGGTTTCAGCATCTTCCAGCAGAGCTCCCACGTCAAATACGTTGTCCAGGTAAGCCTGAATCTGCACTTGCAGCTTATCACTCTCAGTGTGCTTCAGTTTCTAAAAATCAAAACACAAGAGAAGGCAGTGTCAGCACAATTGTGGACACAGAGCATAATGATACAACAGCCTATGTGGTTTTTGTTTGTTCCAAACAGTCCAATCTGTGCCAAGAGAGGGTTTGATGTAGCATCCTCCTCACGACAATTATGGAGTGTTCTTCTAAGAAGGTATAATCACATTACTTTCCGATGAACACCCTCTTCCAAATATATACAAGTTTCCTTCCTAATCCTCCCCAAAGATATAGTCCCCATGTAGGCATATTCCAAACCAATACATCTTGACACAGGTGAAATCAGACTACAGAAAAATTAAGAGCAGCTGCAGAAGGAGCAACAGTCCCACGTAACAAATTTGAGAGGCATCTGTGTGCAAGAGGTGGTTACAGTAGCAGCAGTAATTTGCCTGGGCAGAGATGGTAATTCCATTGAGGATTAGGTTGGATGGGAGGTGGAGAAGACATGGGTGAGAGTGAAGTAGCCAGGGGGCTTATTTCAGCATAAGTTGCTAGAATCTGCCTTCCATCATAACTTCCTTAAGATACTGCCCCAGCATAAGGAGTTCTGGGCTTCCCAAAGCACAGATCAGGAAGCCACTCACTGCATTACAGACCCAGGCATCCAAAGGAAGTCAACCAGCTTTAAGGTGAAATTAGAGGTCAAGGTAACCTATGAATCTTCCTTACAAGTAACACAAGTCCTGACTTCCCCTGGGGGAACAGATGAGTGGCTAGGATAATACTGGCATACAGATGACACCAATAAATATTTACTGAACAAATCAATGGCCACTAACAAGGCTGGGTTTCTGTAAACGAATGAAGTATTTATTATGTGCTTATAATATTAATCTTCTAACCACCTCTATGAGGGTCCAGAACCAACACACCACAAAAATTAAAGAAATACAGAGTTTGGGGAAAATCTTCAACTTTTCAGAGGACTTAGGCTCGACACAAATTCTAAGAGGGATTTGCTCCTAGGTCTAATCTGGAATTCTTCAACTTAGTGTGCCCTAAAGAGAGTATGTTCCACCTTAGTTTAAGAGTATAAACTGAAAAAGACATCTCAATAAGGACGAAGCCTAGAAAGGGAAATGAGGAAGCAGCTCAGAAGGTTTTTTCACCAAGTACACAATGAGTAACAGGCACTGCCTAATGTGTTACGATTCGCCATCACAGCCTTGACCTGAAGGAGCTCAGCATGACCATCACAAAATGGAACCCAGAATGCCATTAGCAACCTATACACCCCATTTTTGCTCAAATACTGCCACTCCCAGGGTATGTAGGGAAAGAGGATAGAGAAACCTTGACCTCAGAGCAGGAAAAACCTCTCAATACCATATTCTGTCAAAGATATTAGTGATTACTTAGAGAAGAAAACAATTCAAACCACTCTTTAATGAAAATCCATCAGACTCTCCCTGAGTACAGTCCTTAGACAACGTTAGGCTAGTATACCCTAGGGCAGCCTGGCTGGTCTGATAAGCCAGCTGATGAGCTCAGAGAGTAACCAATGCTATGATTCTGCCTCACAGTAAACTGTAATTCCCTGGCTTCAGTCCTGACGAAGATGGGCAGCTGAAATCCAGAGATGTCCAAGGGAAGTGCTTATATCTCTTCTTCAGGGCTAGAAACAGATTTGAAATTGAGCTCAACAATTCTTGCCCTCTCACTAGTAGCCTTTCAAATTCAAGGGGACCACTGGTGTACAGAAGGGAAAACAGAACTGCTCAAGAGTGAAAGGACATGAGGGCATCCTGTGCACACACAGCTATTCCAGTCCATTTATGATTTTCACATAAACTTGCTGTTTCTTAGGTGAAGGAAGAACTATAGGGAACTGGCTGAGCACTTCCACAGGGGAGGCAGAGAAAGAGAAACTTTAGATCTCTTCACGAACCGAGAACTTAAAAGTGGAACTTCTAAAGCCACAAATGCATTAAACAGAATTTAACAGCTACAGGAGGAAGTCTCTAGTGTCCATTTCCTCATGACTTTTTTATACTCTAAGCATTTATTCATCACTCTTTAACAGTCTTGGTTTGACCTCCCCTGCCCAGATAGGGTCGCCAGAGTAACCAAGAACGTGGATTGCCCAATAGCCCAGATGAAGGGTGCAATGAGACTTGGTCCAGACAGAGTTCAAGAGCAGAGGTGAGCTACAGTGAGAAGCTACAAGAGGTTGTCTGACTCCAACACTAAAAGGCTGCTGGCAGAAGACAGACTGAGCTCCCAGGAGGTCTTCAAGAATCCAGTTTCCCTGGCAAATTGCATCACTCAGGTTCCCTTTAACTAGTGCTACGACACTTGACTGTACAGAGCTTGAAGTGTTCTTTAGTCATGGTGGAAGTGTATCTTGAAGGTAGGCAATAAATCAAGTCTTACACTGGAGCCAAAGGTCACAGTTATACTTACATCCAAGTATTCATCCAGGCCTAACTTGGTAAATTCATACTGGAGGTGAACTCTGAAATTCATGTCTTCTACTGAATGGACTACAATATTAATAAACTGCATAGAGGCCACCTGCAATGAAATTGCCAGTGGGTTAGATGGCTGAAAACTTGTTTTCTCAGTTTAAACATAGGCATATGCTTTCAATTACACAAATCTAAACTCACTCACCGACCTCCTCTTACTTCGTTTCATTGGGTCTTTAAAAATATTTTGTAATTTTTCAAATTCAAAAGTCGTAGAGATACCACAGTAAAATACCCCTCGTCATCCACTAGGGTGACCATGATCAAAATGGAAAACCATACCGAGAGCTGCAAGGAGGTGGAAAAAGTGGAACCCTCATCCACTGCTGCCAGAGATGTAGACCAGTGCAGCCACTCTGAAAAGTTTGACCATTCCACAAAATATTAACGACAGAGTTACCATAGGATCCAGCAACCCTGTCCTGGGTATATACCCACGAGAAATGAAAATACATGTCCATCCAGAAACTTATACACAAATGTTCATAATGGCATTATTCACTATTATTTATATTAGTATAACTAATATATATTCTATATATCGTATTATTTTATATTATTCATTATTTCCCAGAAAGTGGTGGTGGTGGGGGGTGGAGAACGCAATGTCCATCAAGTGATGGGTTAAAAAATATAACCTATCAACACAATGGAATATTAGGTGACAATAAAAAGGCAATGAAGTACTGATGCATCTTACAATGTGGATGAACTTGAAAACATTATGCTAAATGAAACCAGTCTGTCATAAAAGACCATATAAGTTATGATTCCATCCATATGAAGTATCCAGAACAGGCAAGTCTGTGGAGATAGAAAGTAGATTAGCAGCTGCCTAGGTCTGGGGATAGGAAATGGGCAGTAACTACTGACGGGGTCTTTCTGGGATGACAATGTGTTCTAAATTAGACTGCAGTGACGGCCACACAACCCTGCAAGTATGCAAAAGATGTGTTGAATTGTCCACTTTCAATAGGTAGGTTAGATGTTATGTTAACCACCTGTCAGTAAAACTTTTTAAAAAGTCTTATGGGTGGGTATATAGAACAAACTGTGTAAGTTATTACAGGCATGTTATAGAAAATGTGAAAATTACTACAAAAAAGAACATTTTAAAAAATCACCTATAATTGTACCACAGGATAATCACTTCTAAAATTTCACTATGGGCCTGACCATACCAACAAGATCGTAATAGGATCTTTGACCCATCTTTCTGTTTCAAACAATCAACCGGCTTCCATTCCATAAAACCCCTCGATTTACTAGCTCCCCACAACTGCATCAATGGCCCTGAGACCTGCCACAGAGAAACTCAGTCCTTGGTTTGGTAAAGAACAAAACAAAGTTGAACAGATCTATTCTTTTTTCCTTTTTTTTTACGGTTTTATTTTTAAGTAATCTCTGTCCCCAAAGTAGGGCTCAAACTTACAACCCCAAGATCAACAGTCACATGCTCTACCAACTGAGCCAACCAGGAGTCCCTATCTTGCTTTTAATGCTGACAGTTTAGGGCCACCTGGGTGGCTCAATCAGTTAAGCATCTGACTCTAGATTTTGGCTCAGGTCATGCTCTCATGGTTCATGAGCCTGAGTCCCACATCGGGCCCCAAGTTGACAACATGAAGCCTATTTGGGCTATTCTCTCTGTGTCTCTCTCTCTCTCTCTCTCTCTCTCT